GTCCTATGCTGACTCGCTGAGTCCATGCAGAAACCAAACAATGGGAAAATCCTTCCTAACTCGTCGAGTCCCTTATCTGACTCGTCGAGTTCATAAAGTCCATTTCTTTTCCAGATGATTTTGATCCATTCCAAAGCTCCAATGGTAGATCTAGCCTCCTATGGCCTAGTTATCACGTAAAGTTGCAAACTTTATGTGCATGCAAAGTCTCAAGAGTCAAACCAAGCTAAAGAAGAAGCTTAAGACAATGGAAGGGCCATAGCTTGACAAAGGCTGAGACTTTATGACAATAAGGGGCTAAAGGGGTCCAGATCTGAAGTTGCAACCTCAGATCTTGCCCCAAATCCGGAATACCACCCTAATACCCTAAAAAGGGTTCCAAACCCATGAAACAAGAGATCTATCTAATGGAGAACCAAGGTAACAACTTGTTACCCCCAAGGTGATGCTGAGATGAAGTAGTACTCGGATCCACAGCCTCTCTTTGCTCTAACTTCTTGCACTTCAATCTCTTCCCTCCACAATCTTCCTTCCAAGCTTAATATCACACCAAAATGAAGTTTAAGCAGTGATTTAGGGTTTCTGGACTCACAAGGAGTTGTAAGGGAGGCTAAGGGGGTAAGTGACCCTTAAATAGGGTACAAAACCCCAGGGATTACGGTTTCTCATTACAAATCCAACTCGCCGAGTCGGGTTCACCGACTCGTCGATTTGGTCACTTAAACCACGTGGCCAAACGCGCCCCTACTCGACGAGTCTAGGCACCAACTCGTCGAGTAGATCTTCTGAGATAGACATAAAATTGTAAAGTTATATACCTTGGAGTCGGGGTGTTACAATTCTCCCCCACTTGAACTAGACTTCGTCCCAGAAGTCGGTTGCGGCAAACCGTAGCATTCCAAGCTCACTTACTACTATCCATGCTAGGAACCTCCACTCTCACTTTCGGTTGCCTTATGCATGCAAATTATACACAATACAGGATCAAATAAATTGTCGAATAAAATACTCTAGCCTAGGACCACAACCAAACAAGGAACAGGAAATAAGGCAAAATTAGTCATTTTAGGGCTATATGATCCTAATCGTATACAATTTTTAAAGCATACACTTAGTAATTACTGATACCAATACATATTCCCAATTTATCATAGCATCCAATGCTTCCTAGGCTATAAGCCATCACATATCAATCCAATCTATCAGACAATTCCTAAAAGTATCCCTAGCCTTATCCTAGAATGCAAACATTCATATCATATAACATATCAACATGTATGGGTATTCTGGGAATCACTTACTTGAGCTCGGCCGATTACATGCATCACACCCCTTTTTTCTTTACAAAAGTCTTTTTATAAATTTGTTTTCTTTTTAAAATATTACCAATTCCTCAGTTTGAGTTAAGTCACACCCGAGAGTGTGCCCGAATCCCTCAAACCAATGCTCTGATACCAACTTCTAACGTCCCAAAAATTATAAGGAAAAAATTTCATTTTTAATTCAACCAGAAACACCAATTATCCTTTTTCCAATCATTCAAAAGTATTTCAGAATAAAAACAGTTATCATAGTACAATCCCAAAATCATCTAGTTGCGGAAACATGGATGGATGCGTTGCGATGAAGCCGGGTCCTTCCCTTTCGAATCGAAAGTACCTGAAACCATAACCATAAAACTATAAGCACAAAGCTTAGTGAGTTCCCCAAAATACCACATACCATACATACCATTGGGCCTAACCCACCATAATGGGCCTAGCCCTCATACAAATGGGCCCGGCCCAACATATCATGCAAGAGTCACAGAGACAGCTAGCATCCTACATAACCTACATTAGGCCTATCCCTTCCTGATCCATGGGCTCAGCCCAGCATACAAATGGGCCTAGCCCGTCATACAATGGGCCTAGCCCGTCATACAATGGGTCTAACCCGTCATACAATGGGCCTAGCCCAACATACCATGCAAGAGTTACAAAGACAACTAGCATAACAGATCCTACTGGGTCGGCATTGGTTTCTTCGACCCACGGGTACAGTGAGGAGACTCACCAAACAGTCAGACGAAATAACTGCTACCACACGCTGCTCCAAATACCAACTCTACCGATCACCTTTACAATAAATAATGACCAAAACTCAGACAACAACTCAACATACCCAAAATACCCTTAGGTCAACTTAGTCAAAATCTCGGTCAAGTCAAAAGGTCAAAAGTCATCCGAGTTGACTCAGTTGAGTATGTCCAGCGTACTCAGCTTATACTCTTGGCGTACTCAAGATCCACAATCGGGCCTCTCATCGTGTACATGCGACGTACGCCAATGTATGCTTAACATACGTTGGCTAACTTCACTTCTTCTTTTTAAGAGCTTATTCCATTAAGTCTTTTCGACCAAAGGCAGATCTAGTCCCAAAATAACATCTTAAGTCATAAAGTTTCCAACTTTATGACTTGGCAAGGATAGGAAGTGCTCAATACCAAAAACCCTAACTTCTTAACTCATTAAGACATCCTAGAACATGAATGGACGAAAACTAAGGACCAAGATTACATTTTTATGGTTCCTAATAGCTTCATAATGGATAAAGTTTCCAACTTTATCCATTAGAATGGTCCAAACAACCAAGATCTGGTCTTTAAGTCTCAAAGGGACAAAAAGAGCATCTTTTTCAACTTAATCCATTAAGTCCAAGTCTCAAACCTTTAGATCTAAATCAATATGATGTTTAGATGGATAAAGTTTCCAACTTTATCCATAACAAGGTCACAAACTTTCAAGATATAAACTTTATGAACTAAAGTGACCAAAAACTCATAACACCCAAGACTAGCTAGATTTATCAAATGCATCATCAAGATTCAACCTTTATACCTGTAGAAAAAAAGATCAAGGTGAACAAAGTCTAGATCTACAAGCTCCAATGCAACCAACACTTCTCCAATGAGCTCTTTCTTCTCCAAGATGCACCAAGAATACTCCAAAGCACTTAAAAACACCTTATTTTTTCTCACAAGGCTCAAACTAGGGTTATGGTTTCAAGGAAGGGTGTTGGAGAGGTGGAGGCTGAGAATGGAATAAGTTTGGGGAAGTTAAGGAGCTTAAATAGGCTCAAACCACGAAAATAAGGTTTGGGCATTGATTGCGTACGCCTAGCGTACTCTTGGTACGCCCAACGTACTCCGGGATACCCTAGTAGACCCAGCATACGCGGCTTGACCCAAAATCGTCCTAACTTCAAATGGTCATAACTTCTTCATTTCAATTTTTGATTTCGACGATCTTTATATCCACGGAAAGGTATTGAGCAGCTATACAACGCTATCTATTTAATATTAAATTAAAACACATCGAACTAAAATCCTTAATTCATAAAATAAGTCTGAAACACCATTTTCCCCATTATACCATTGGGCTCCAAAGCACAAACCGAATTCTTGGATCACATAATCCACATTACCCACTTCCAAATGGGTCTAAACCTCTCTTTACCCAAAGCCCAAAGCCTTATGATACTTGATCTTCGGGTCACGGCCCCAAATCATGAAACGACTCGAAACAAGGTGTTACAACTCTCCTCCACTTAAATTAGATTTCTCCTCCAAATCACTCCTTGTTACTCTCCAGGAGGTCAGACGATCCGGCCAATTCTTCAAGATCCCTGCTGAAAGTCAACCCCAACATACGATGGCCTTCCAATAATCGAACCCATCCTTAGCAGACTCGTTTTCTGACGACGAGCGAATGCTTGCTCTCATTAACCTTAACCAATGAAGGACTGCCATCACTACTCAGCTCAAGTCCAGGAATCCAATACCTTATCCGTCTTCTCGACAAACAAACCGTTCGAAAATACTATCAATAGGACCTATGTATGCAATCTGAACTGAAAGAAATCCTTCCGGTCCTAAATCCTCTAGCTAACACTTCTGGCTGACGGAATCCTAACCATACCTTGATGTCGAGTCATTATAGATGTCGAGCAATTCTTTCTTTGGACAAGTTGTTTCTCTTTCCTCACATCCTTATGGATGTCGAGTCATTCGGGTAAAAGGAAAAATTAAAAAGAAAATTCATTATCTATTTCTTCTTCTTATGTGTGAAATTAACAGATGGTTTTGGAGCACTGTGATGATCAAAATACATAAGTTGTAATGGATGAAATCATGAACAAGGTTTGTACTCTAGCACAAGACCAATATGGAAATGATGTTATTAAGGTACTCACTCCCCTTTTGAATATATGTTTTTATTTTCTGATTTGAGATTTAATTAATTACTATAAAATTGTTGGTTTATTATAATTAGCATGTACTACAACATGGTAAACCCCATGAGCGATCCGCTATTTTCAACAAGATTGCAGGAGAAACAATGAAAATGAGTCTGCAAAAGTTTGCTTCAAGTATTGTTGAGATATGCTTAACTTATGGAACCCCGGATGAGGACCAACTTATTGTAAACAAAATGCTTGGTTCCACTAATGAAAATGAGCCGTTAGCAACTTTCATTTTTTAGATTATTTTTATTTTTATAAAATTTACATTTTTCATATTTTTTAGATTATTTGTATTTTTGCAACATCAAGAAAATATAAATAGATTAAGTTGTTTTACCATGTGGAAACCCATGAGTTGACTTGAACTTTCTACAAAAACCAAGTCTTTTAACAATATTATGCACACATTATGCGTTTACTATGCTCTTCCAACCACAAGCTTTCATCAATGATTGCACAGCCCTTGAGAAGGAAAGAGGGTGGAATTCCAACCACAAGCTTTCATCAATGATTGCACAGCCCTTGAGAAGGAAAGAGGGTGGAATACTATATAAACACGCTAAAATGGAAAATAGAAGTGTATATATATATATATATATATATATATATATATATATATATATATATATATATATATATATATATATCAAGCATCAGGTAGCTAGCTCTTGTTCTACTACATCAAGTTAAATCTTCATTTTCTCTGGTCTAGCAAGATGACATGGACATCTCCTTCAGACGCCATGCCATGGGTGGGATTGTATATTTGCTTAGCATCTCTGGTTTGCACTCTAGCAATGGTAGCTGATGTTTTTCGAGGCTTTGGACAATGGAAACTCTGGTTTCCATGCAGATTTTTCACTATCAATGCTGCTTCTATCACGCTGATAGCAATATCAACAAAGCTACCAGTGGATCTGAGCACTAACGTGTCTGACGACCATGAGAATGCAGCAAAAGTTGTCAGCATTATTTTCTTGGTCACCATGTTAGCCAACTTTCTCCCTTCTTTAGGGCTTATGAATGACAAGGAACTTCTGCTGAATACCATGGCCTTGTGTATCCTCATACTTACCATTAATGTAAATATGTGGATTCAAGTTATTATTGCTCAGTCGAGTTTGTTAAGCTGGACAACAATCCTTTTATTGATTCTTTTAATTCCATGGCCATTTTCGGTAGCCTTGACAGTGTCAGCATCTAGAAGAGCTTTAGAGCAACGGTACAAGGAGTTGCACAGTTTGGCTTCAAATCATCAAGAGATAAACTTCTCCAGCAAGGAACTCATACGTTATGTTAAAAAGTATTGGATGATGGCAGAGACTGGTAACCCCCAATTTGTAATTGCTTGTTCACCAGTTTCTTGTGCTTTTGGAGATGTATGCTTAGTCCTTGCTTTCAATTCAGTTATAATTTTGGTCGACCAGTTTGTTGATATATCAAATTTTCAGAATTATGATTCAGATTATAAGTGGTCAATCAATGTGATTATTACCTTGCAATCATTTGGGGTGATAGTAGGTAGTATAGCACCAATTTTCAGATGTTTAACTACCACAGGTCATTTCAACCTCTCCATGAAATGGAGCAAGCATCATATAAACGTATTCCGAGTCGAAAAACATTGGATCCAAACACTTCAGATGTGGAAAAGCAGCCCTGTCCCTAAGCATATCCCAGGTCGCCATTTCAAGAAGGTTTTCCGTAAAATCCGAAACTTGATTTTGAACTTTTGTATAGCGCTTCAGATAACGATTGTAGTTATATGTAAAACAGAATGTCTCATTCCCAGATTTTTTCTGATCTTATTCTCTTATTGCTTCCATTTCGGCAAGTCATACTTGAAAAGGTTTTAAGGAAGAAGCAAATGCATCTAATAGCAATGTGATATCAGATATGGAAGAATATACTGGTTACATCTTGCAAATCGAACCCGATGCGAAGCTTTCAAAGAGAATATTACGAAATGTACTCAGTTCTATAACTCGACTTCTTCAAGAGTCTGAAAAGAAAGAGCCAAGGAATCTTATGAAGCTTCTAGAGAAATCTACAGGATTCATTGGCGTAGTAGAGTTCGACAATGATCAAGTTCCACCATTACATCCAGAAGAAGTCCAGAACTGCTGGAGCCTAGTAGCTGTAACATTAACTGCCATTGCTCTTGGGCTTCCTAATATTGCAAACTGCCATGTCAAGGGGTTGCTTTCAAGTATGAAGGAAGGTCTTCAATTTGTGAGACATGTGGAAGAAAGCCTCAATGCAAATGATGAGATGATAAAGGCACGAAAAGCAGCTACACACGTATGGACAGACGTTGAAGTATACTGCAAGTGGCTACAAATTGATCTTCAAAAGAAGGCTCGTAAAGGAAAAATGTCAAAGGAGATTCTTCAATGGTTGGGTGATGAAGCTGCAAAAATTGTGATACAGTTCAAGACAAGGAAAAATGAAAGTCTGGATCACTCACTTTCCAAATTGCTGCAAGTTCTATGTATAGGATCAGCCAAACCATACTGCTTCACTGCAATGAGCAAGAAAATTGGCCAACAGACGAGGAACTCTTTGAGTGGATATCAGCCATAATCGCAGATCTGCTATGTGCTTGCTTTACCAACTTGCCACGTGTCATAACCATGAAGTGTCATGATGATGCAATAGAGAAAAGGGAAGATAACATCAGAACTGCAGCTCAGCTTCTTGGTAGATCCAAAAAGATTCTGAAAATGCTTAAAAAGCGACAACTTCCCAACTTAGACATGGAGTCAATGGGGTACATTGATAAGTGGCATGCATTACCAAAAAGTCAGATACCCAATTATGGTTTTTCTTCTGCCAGGATTCAACCAGCTTCTTCAAGTTCTAATGAATCTTTGGTAGTAACTATTATTTGACTAGTATGTGTATGTTTGAAACAAGAATTGTGGTCTATACTTAATGTGAATGATGAGTTTCTTTAAACATAGTTAAAAGTTGTAACTGTGCATTCAGCACCTCCCCCACTAAGTTTATGATGCTACTATAGTTTTTGTGGAAAACAATGACACTCATTGCTGTCTCAAAAAAACATATGAAAATTAAGTTTTATATCATTTGTGAAGCTAAACAGTAACAATAAATAAATAAAATCCAAACTACTGTTTAACATACCAATAATTCGTACCATATAGCAACCAAAACCGCTGCCAATAACAAGTATAATAATACTATACAAAATCATAAATAAATACCTAACACGAATTTAAAACCAACCGTTTTACGCCCAACTACACCTACCATGAAAACAAATCCTCCCATCAAAACAAAACAATAAACAAATCCATCCTAAAAACACAAGTAAAAAAAAAAAAAAGATCCCAAGAACTTATATTAACACTCAACAATAATGAATCAATCTCCACATGTCACCTTACCTTCAACTCACTCGAAGATCAACTATACACAAACTAACCATTTTTCCACCACCAAATCCTCATATTTTCTTAGGCAAATTATACGTTTTCTTAAGAAACTTCGAAGCCGAATCATCATTCCGATAACACAAAACACGCAAAAGCGTATTTGGATCATTCGAACTCCATTGACCCGTAGTCGCAGGCAATGGTAACCTAGATTTAGCAGACGACCCGTACGCCTCCAAAGTCAACCGCCTAAACCGCTCCACAACCGCATCCGTTTCCATCCCAAAAAGCGGAATCACATCTCTCACAACAATCGAAAACTTATTAATCACATCCATAGACAACCCATCACCATTTGCAAAAAACAAATCCTTAATCGCCTTAAAATCATCTTCAATCCCTCTCGAATCTTGTATAGTAAAACACCTCGTGGGCCCACCTCCAAGTAAAACCAACAACAACCCTTCAAAACTCGCTTTCATTACTTCCGCAACTAACCGCGTTCGAACCCTTTCGTGTTGCACATTATCCGCAATAACTGTTAAATTTTGTTCAAGTTCTTGAAGGAAAGGTTCGATTGGGGAACATGTGGGCCCACCTACATAAAGATTGTCCCATAATGAGTTTCGAAGATCGTGAAACACGATTTTGTAAGCGGTTGATTCGCAAAGTTGTTGGATGCCTTCGAGGCATGCGGGGGGTGTGAGTTCGAATTTTTTTTGTAATCCGTTTGAGAAGTCGGAGACATGGGCAGATTCGGAATTTCGCAAAAGTGTTATGATTCGTTTTTCGATTGTTTCGAGTTCTGATCGGATTTTTTTGGAGCGTGTTTATACGTACGCATAGTTGTGGGACCCCTAATGTATTGTCGTTTGTTGTCGAGACTTGAGAATTTCTTCTTTGTAAAGTTGTGGTTTTTTCCTTTTTCTTGAAAACACCGTGGAATTTTGTCTCGGTTGTGCATCGGGTTAACGCGGGAAGAGCCGGAATATATGTATTTCGTGATCCTGTAAATAAAAAATATGTTATGTAAACAACTTTAATTACAAACCCTAATTTAAATTAATTGAAAGTATGTTTAGTAGTTAGTAATTTATGAGTAAATTACATGAATGGTCCCTATGGTTTGGGGTAATTTGCGCGTTTGGTCCCTAACTTATTTTTTTTAACTCGAAAGGTCCCTACTGTTTGTTTTTGTTACGCGCTTGGTCCCTATCTTACCTAAAAGGACTATTATGACCTTATTTAAATAAATTAAAATAGTCTTTTTAGTTAAGATAAGGTGGGGGTGGGGGTGGGGGTGGGGTTGGGGTTGGGGTGTGTTTATTTAAATAAATTAAAAAAATCAATGGCAAAATAGTCTTTTTAGGTAAGAAATGGACCAAGCGTGCAAGAAAAACAAACAGTAGTTACCTTCCGAGTTAAAAAAATAAGTTAGGGACCAAACGCGCAAATTACCCCAAACCATAGGGACCATTCGTGTAATTTACTCTAAGTAATTAGTAATTAGTAATTACCACATCCAGATTTGACTTTGTTTGAGTAATATTGAAGACATCGATCAAGGCCAAGAACTAAATCAGGAAGCAAAGCTGGATGCATTGGAATTGGGAGATTAAAGAAAGCATCCAAAGTTTCATCTATAATTCTCAAGACTTCAACAGCTGAAGGAGCATATCCTTCTTGATTAGCTCGTGGATTCCACACCTGTTATATATATATTGTTGTCAAATACCATAAATGCCCTCCGGATTACATTGCTATTTATTTAAGAAACTGACCTCTTGTTGGAGATTTCTATCAATCCATTCTTTCAACCTGTCTAATCTCAATTTAGTCCACCCTTTGACCAAATTAGCAATTGCAGCTTCAGCTTCAAAAGGTGGCATTTCTCTTATGATTGCTTTTCCACCATCATCACTATCAACAGAATCTTCAACTGCAATTTGTACAAGGTCTTTTTCTAATTTGTCTGCAGCTCTTAAGATTTGAACTGCATCTGGGGTTAATTCGGTAATTCCTGAAATGAATTGTTTTAATTCGTTTCCATAGCAGACATGGAGAGTGGCTACAGCTACACCAGCTGCAAGAGGGTGCCATCTTTTTAAAATTGGGCTGAACATTTTCTTTTCTTTTGTAGCTAATTCACCAATGTCTTTTGCAAGGATTGCAAGAACTGGAAGTGGATTTGGTTGGTTTCTTGATGCTCTTCTGATTGAATCAGCTTTCTCCATTATCTGTGTGTTTAAAGATCAAATTTAAATTCAATTCAGATTTGGTTGGATGGAATGGAATCATGGATTGAATGGAATCATGGAAGAATGGAATGGAATGGTTAAGGTAACGGAATGAGTCATTCCATTCCATGATCATGTTTGGTTGACAACTTGACATGTAGGAATGGGATGAATTTTTGCATGAATTTTTTGTATTATATGTAAATATAAGGTATAGTTTTAATACTATTCTGTATATTATAAAGGGTACATTACATAAAACTATTGTATTTTGGGTAATTTAACCACTAATACTTTATTTTTTCCAATCAAACCACAAAATTTTCCAAACATTTTTACAAATTAACCATTTTGAAGTGTTATATCAGGTTTCACTGGTAATTTTCCAAAATTTGGAAAATTTTATTTCAACTTTTATGGTTTAACCATTAATACTTTATTTTTTCCATATCAGACCATATAATTTTTACCAAATTAACCATTTTGACATGTTATATCATCAGGTTTCACCAGTAATTTTCCAAATTAACTATTTTGACTTATTATATGCGGTCAAAATGGCTAATTTGAAGCAATGTTTGAAAATTTAATGGTTTAATTGAAAAAAAAAATAGGGTTAATCTCATAAAAGACCTTATATTTTGTGTTTTTTTCCGGATTAAACCTCATCTTTATTTTTTTCATGAAAAAAAAAAACCTTATATTTTTTCATTTTTTCCGAAAAAGCCCTCAACTTTGTCTTTTTTTCCAAAAAAAAACCCTCACCCTTCTAAATGTTCCCAAATAAACCTTACAACTTTTTTTGGAGAAAAATGTCTAAAAGGGCTAGATCGGAAAGAATGAAAAAAATGCAAGGTCATTTTCATGAAAAAAATAAAGTTAAGGTTTAATCCGGAAAAAACACAAAATATAAGGTCTTTTATGAAATTAACCCAAAAAAAATAAGTATAAGTGGTTAAACCGCAAAATTCACCGAAAATGTGACAATGGTTGTTATGTAATTTTCCCAATTACTATATTATTTACAAAACTAAAATATTAATGTTAAATATAAGAAAAAGCTCATTAAAACCCAAAAAAGAACTCACCTGAGCAAAAGCTGTCCTAAGTGATGACCTAATATAAGTATCAGTCCTACTTTTTTGCCACGTCATCATTCTTCCTTCTTCTCCTGTACTCATTAGAAATATCTTCAACCAATATTTTAGCAGCTGAAACCCCTAAAGAAACAATACTTTGCATAGAATTAATATTCCCTTTATCAAACGTATCATGATATGCAAGCAATCTTTTTTCAGCCCACCCCAATATTTCACTAAGTGTTTCATTCAATATTTTAGCATAATTCGCATCCTTTGTAGTCTTTGCATCTTTTGCAACTTCAACTAACTGACAATCAGCAGCATACAACAAATCATTATCCATTTGTCCACTTCCCACAAACCGATTAAATAAAATCCAAGTGAAACATATGTTATGAAGCATTTGGTTAATCCCCAAAATCCCCCATGTCTTCTTTACAAGCTCCATAACCTCATCAACCTCTTCTATAATTGATGACTCATCGTTCAGATCAAAGATAGCTTCTAGAAGAATCTCATAGATTCGGAGATTTAAAGGAAACCCATCTGCCCAATGACATGATTCGGTTTGACCATCGGTTGACCGGTTGGATAAGGTTGTTACAGCACTACGTAAGACTTGCATTGACTCATTGTTTCTTCCTGTTTCTATTGTCTTTTCTAATGCATTGTGAATGATTTGTTTTAGTCTTTGAGAAGATGTGTTTGAGGGTGGAAGGGGGATGTGAGGGTGTAAAAGTAATCCGGCTTCTAACATTTTTAGGTTTCGTTTCTGCCAGGTGGCGTACTCTTGTTGGTCGGTGAAATCTGATGATTTGAATTGTTGTAATAGCTCTAAAGGGAGTACCATTAACTCCACTCGTTTTCCAACCTGTTACATGTAAATAAAGTTTATGATTTATCCCTTTTTGATGTTGAAAGTTGATTTATATTAAACCATGTTATTTGGCTTAACCTATTAAGTTGTTATGTGCAGATTAAGTGCTAAAACATTATATGATTAAGCTGATTAGGTCAAAAAGAAACAACTCCTTATGTTAGTTAAATTAAGATTGGTAGAAGCATATGATTATTAAATCTTCTTTGTTTAAGTAATTGGAAAAAAAAAAAAAAAAAAAAAAAAAACATTAAAGTATAGTGATAGTTTTGTATATTTTGTCTGATTATTGGACTTTTATCACATCTATAAAAACAACAAGACGACGGTGTTTTGGTACATTACACCGCCTTACAATTGTCATGTCATCTCTCCGCCTCTGGTATTAATGGAAGACATAGCGAAAGCATTAATTTTATCAAATTGTCGTTTTTCTACAACAAAAATCGTCAATTTTAGACACCATTAAAGCACCAGAGAATTAAAATTTACCATAAATTGTTTGGAAGAACAGTTACTTTTTGACCTTATTATCGAACATGGTAATTCCATATTTTTGTTGGTGATTTGCAAATTATGCAATTTTTCAATGTGGTTATCAGATTTTTTTTTTCAAAGATATTGGAATCCACAGTAATTTTGCACTTGAAAAATGATCCTTTCAATCTTGCCAGTGAAAAGCATTTTCGATTTTGGATCGGGAGAATATTAGGAAAGCAATTTAGAAGAACAAATCACATCAAGAAATCGAAGAATTTAGAAGTGAAACAGTGAATTCTTTATAGGATTTGAGAATCACAAACACATCATACCTGGCCAGCAGAAATTCTCAACAATGCCCTTCGAACTCTGGAATCGGCAGCCTCAGAAATCCTCATCTGAATCCTCATTAGCTCTCCTACCGTCATCACCGTTTTCTTAACCTTTCCGCCGGACCCAGCACCGGAGCCAGCCGAACCAGGACTACCGGCGCTCGAACTAGATCGGAGGCCTAACGCTTTCTTCATCTTCGACGCGGCAGTAGAAGTGATCGATCTCTGCGACGGCGAGCCCGACAGTGACGGCGACTGTGAAGATCGATCGGGAGTATAACTTGACGCGTTATTGGGAATGTAAGTAAGGGGTTTTCCTGTAGAGGTACGACAAGCTGCGACGAAGATCTCGTAAGCTGTTTCACGGAGGTCAGTGGGGGATAAAGTTGGCGTGAGGTCACCGAATGGCGATGGGAGTGGATCTAAAGTGGTGGTGGTGGTGGTGGCGGCGGCTGAGGAGGAGTAGCGTAAGCTGTTTGTTCCGTTCATGACTGGGCCGTTTGAGTCTCTCTTGGATTGGCCGAGTATTCTTTCTCTACTGAAGAGAGAAGCCATTGAAGAGAGAGAAAGAAGCAGACTGTGTGAAACAAAGAGTAAAGGGAAAGGAGGAGGATGAGAGATGATGACGATGATGATGGGTTTGTTGTATTTTCTTTTTGATTTTTTTTTGGTATTTTTTTATTTTATTTAATATATATCATTTTCAATAATATTAATCCATTTGACCAAGTAATATTATTTTTGATTTAATTTACCATATTACTAATTATAATTACAAAACTATTTTGTTCCATGACCTTTTAAATAATGCAAGACTTATATCATATCTCGTTGTTTTAATAAAAGAGTACAATAATACAAGATGATATCTTATTAGGGAATATGACTTATTAAGGTAATTAACTTTTCGGTATGTTGAAGTGTACACATCTAGGTAACAAATTTGTTGAAGTGTTCACATATGACCATTATGACCTGCTATAGCAGGTTAAATCTTAGATGTGAACGCTTTCAACAAGTTCGTTACCTAGATGCGTACAAAAAAAATAATTACCCAAATATGAATAAAACGAAAAGTAAAATTAAATTACACGAATGGTCCCTATGGTTTGGGAGAATTTGTGTTTTTGGTCCCTAACTTATTTTTTTAACTTGGATGGTGCATATTGTTTATTTTTGTTGCGCGTTTGGTCCATGTCTTTCCTAAAAAGACTATTGTGCCCTTATTATTTTATTTTTTAATTAATTTTCTTATTTATGTATTTATTTTTTACATATTTAAAAAAATTAATAGACCTCACATATTTGTATCTCTCATCGGATGATGAAGACCTACTAATTTTTTTAAATATGTAAAAAATATGTAATTTTTTTAAATATGTAGTTTTTTTAAATATGTAATTTTTTTAAATATGTGGGGTCTATTAATTTTTTTAAATATGTAAAAAATAAATACATAAATAAGAAAATTAATTAAAAATAAATTAATAAGGGCACAATAGTCTTTTTAGGTAAGACAGGGACCAAACGCGCAACAAAAATAAACGGTAGGGACCGTCCAAGTTAAAAAAATAAGTTAGGGATAAAAACACAAATTTCCCCAAACCACAGGGACCATTCGTGTAATTTACTTTTACTTTTCGTTTTGTTCATATTTGGGTAACTATTTTTTTGTATACATCTAGGTAACGAACTTGTTAAAAGCGTTCACATCTAGGATTTAACCTGCTATAGCAGGTCATAATGGTCATATGTGAACACTTCCAACAAGTTTGTTACCTAGATGTGTACAAAAAAAAAGATAGTTACCCAGATGTGAACATACCGAAAAGTTAATTACCTTAATAAGTCATATTCTCATCTTATTATCGTTTTGTGAAAAGTTTTTGATATATTCCACATAAAGTTAAATTACGTATTTACCATTTAACTATGTATAGTTCATTTTGAATCTCCGATATCATATATACTAGTAGTGAGACTCATGTATTACATGGGTTAATTTAAAAAATATATATATATATAAATGTCAAAATATCTAAGAACTTTGAATTTATAAGAAAATAAAAGAAAAATAATGAATTATTATAATTGAAATATTTTTATCTTTTAAATTTAAACAAATATTTAAATAAATAAACAAAAAAAACTAATGAGCTTTACTTTGAAAATTTTGAAATTAAAAGGTAAGTTCATTAATGAAATTGATATCCATTTATTACTACATTTATTGCAATTATTACATTAAAATATTATGTGGAATTTAATAAAATAGAAAAACTCATAAAATGACATGTGGGAAAAAAAATTAATTCAAAATAACCACAAAATGATATTTGGCAAATTGAATGAGAGTATGACATATGGCAAAAAAACTTTCATTTATTAGAGTAGATATCCCAAGAAATCAGCAAGCTCCATTCCGAGAAAACAGCAAATCACCGAGATTTTTTGATGTTGATTATATATTTAGAGGGTGTTTGTTTTTTCTCTGCAGATCTGCGTGAGGTCTTCTGTCTGCGCGGCGCAGACCACGCGCAGACTTATAGGTTTGAAGTGCGTTTGTTTTTCTGAAGTGCGGAGACATAAAAACGTCTGCGCGAGGTCTTCACCACACAGATATGGGCCAACCTCTTCTAAAGTCTGCGAAGTGCCTTTAACCTAAAAAAAACGCGTTTCTTTTTGTTTCCGCCTCCCATCTTCGTACACAAATAGCTCGACAACTCCATCTTCACTCCAGCAACCTTCGTCGACCGGTCATCACCTCCGATCAGCACCGCCTGTCGCCGTACCGCCCGTCGCCACCCTCCTCTCCGGTCGCAGGCGTCACTTCTCGATTGCAGCGAACAGCAAGCGAACAGGTATGTCATCGCCTCCTCTCTCTTTCGATTCAATTTCAATTCAACTTCTTGTTTGATTCGCATCCTTGTTTCCCCGAAAATATTAATTTTGTTGGGTATTCCTGTTGGATATAGTGTCTAAGTCCATAACTATATTTGGTATGTACTTGACCCGACCCGGCATAGTCCATTTGGGTTGCACTTCACCCGAACAATTTACGGATAATCTTTTGAGAATAGTATAAGTTATGATTTATTAATATATTATAAGTTCTAATATATTAATATAAAATCATATTATTTAATTAGTGTTGATCTATAATTAATTTAGAATTAATTTAGAGATCAAAAGTATGACTAATTAAATATGGGCTCTTGTAGTTATATAGTGTGGGCTAATGCTTATTTGGAATGGGCTAGGCTTGCATGGAAAGTCCATGGATACTCCATGGAGCTTTAACCCATGGATCTCATGGAAATGAAAAGACATGGGTATTAGGGTTTACATGGATGTAACCCTAATCCACCACACTATATAAAGGAGGCTTTGGTTCTTGAAATTGCACTAGTTGGTGTGTGTAAACTAAGAGGGCCGATTTCAAGAAGTTTGTGACTATTCTCTCAAGTTTCCAAGTTTGTGGTGATTTGTGACTTCCATTTGAGGCATCCACATAATTGGTGCTAGGCTCTCAAACTCCAAGCAATCAACTACTACTACAAGGTAAGTAATTCTACTAGTTTTATTTGATTCAAGTACCTCATGCCATGCTAGTTAGGATAAGAACCTTGGAAAAATAATTATTTGCATGTATCTTAGTCAAACATAGATCCAAGGTTTCTAGGGTTGCATGTACACCATAGGAGTGTTAGAATGCTGAAAACCCATCAATTCCTTCATATTCAAATCTTGGAGGTGTATAATTTATCATATATTCTTGCTAAAATTGAAAATACTACACGTAAACAATTCCCAGCAAGCTGTCATTCTTGTTAAATCTTACCTGCAAGTTGTCTTCTTGTTTTTTCACACCTGGGATCTATAATTTTCTTTGATTGGAAGCCAATATACAGAACTGCCAAGCAAAAGATAACATATTCTTTTGTTGATTGTGTATGTGTATATGATTGTTGATTGTGTATATGTGTATGATTGTTGATTGTGTACGTGTATATGATAGTGTATATGTATATGATTGTTGATTTGTGGATGATATAATTTGCCTAGAATGTGTTGAAATCAAGTTTTTTCTTGAAATAATGCTGTGAAATAATGATGTTAGTTGTTGAAATCAAGTTTTTTCTTGATGAAAATTCTTATTTGTTGAAATTGTTGTTTGATTGTTTTTTTTGTTGCTAAAATTGCTGTTAGATTGTGCTGAATATGCTAAAAATTGTTTCAAATTGTTGAAATAAGAGGCTAAATGTTTTTTTTGTTGAAATAGGAGGCTGAAAATACTTATTATTGTTTCAAATTGTTGTTGAATGTGCTAAAAATTGTTGTTGAAAATCGTTAGTTGTTGACTGTTTATTGTGAATGCTATATTGGTTATTAGAAATGGGAGATAAACATCAATTGACCAATGAGCAATTAAAATGCTTAGTGGATACTTGTATTGAAGAAGTAGAGAGTGTTGGTAGAAAAGGATTGAGTTTGCAGAAAGATTCATGGATAAGGCTTGGAAGAGTTCTTAAGGAAAAATTTGGCGTTGACTTGAGTCAAAAACAAATGAAAAATGCATATGACAATCTGAAAGCCAAATACACAGGATGGGTATATTTAAAAAACAAAACTAGTAATATATACAATTCCCAAACAAACACTTTTAACTTAACAGTCGAGGAGTGGGATGATTTTAAGAAGGTACAATCTCAAACAAACACTTTTAAACATTTACGTTTGAAGTTGCCAAATATTCTTACACTATTTTTTGTTATATTTGGGTTTAGGGGCATCCGAAGGCTGCTTCGTTGAAAACAATGCCACTGCCTTTTCCAGATCTTTGTGCTCGTCTTTTTGATGGAAATAGTGCCACTGGTAATTTTAGGAGTTACTCAACCCAATCATCTTCAGTAGCTGGAGCATCCTCTTGTCGTCTTCCACCACTTCAGATTACCGCCACCCCTTTTCTTGCATTAGATGATGATGGTGATGACACTTCCCATCATGCTAGTGAGACTTTTCATGAGCCACCACCTTCTGCTGCTTCACCTTCTGCTGCTTCACCATCCGGTTACCCCAACAAAAGGGCTAAACCCTCAACTCCTAAAGCTCCTAGTACATCACCGTCTACTTCTTCACCTGATGGAACTTCTGTTACTGCTGACGATTTAGCATTTGAAATGAAAAAAGCTCTACAAAGTTTGACTAAAGGGTATACAATTCCTCAATGTTTAGAGAAATTAGAGGTGCTTCAGTTAGGCCCTACGGATCCTTTACGCTTTGTTGCATATCATATTTTTGGAGGGACTATGAACATGAGAGAGATGTGGATGCATTTACCCGATGTTCCCGAGATATTACGAGGATGGCTTGAGATGACGGGTACAAGTTTAGGAGTTTTGAAGGACGGAAAGATTATCCGATGATTTTTATTGTGTTGAAACTATTTATTAGGTCCTTTTGCCTCTATTTGAACTATTTTGTTAGGTCTTTTTGCCTTTGTTGAAACTATTTTTTGTTATTTTGCTACTTGGAATATGTTTTATCTAATGTGTTTTTGCTACATGTAATATGTTTTATCTAATGTGTTTTTGCTACTTGAAATATGATT